TTCCTACCGTGATAAATAAGAGAATTAACCTTGCCTCTGTAGGAAGAGTTTCATAATTGGGGTGCAACCCCAAAAAAGGCTCTGTCTTATGCTGCAAACAACCCAGCCTCTCTAGAAGGTAGAACATGTAATGACGATGTTCGCCACATTATGGAAAGATCCATTCAAGGGACAGGGAGAAAAATAATTTCAGATAGTACGGGTGACAACCTAAATGCAATTTCCTGATTTTTTTAGCTGGAACCCATTAAAAAATTGTGCATAAACTGTCGGATGGACCTCACACCTTAAACGTGTTTTTTGTCATGTCACTCCAAACGTGCAACATACCTCAAAATAAATACATAATCTCCACAAATCCCACCCCTGCCCTCTCAAGTCAATCAAACAAACGTTGTTATGGGTCACAGACCCAGACTTCTTTTTTTAAAAAAATACAGTAGGTAATATAAACAGAGTCACTGCTGTGAGATAGGCAGCTATATAAATCATTGAAATAAATAAACAAAACAAAACAAAACAAAATAAAATAAAATGCAACATGCTGTCTACAATGCACAAATCCTAGAGGCTACAAAATACAAATTTTGCAAAAGGCAGTTATTTTGTGATCTTTAGCTGCCAAGAGAAGTCCTCCCATATAATGTCATCATCATTAGGATGCTCAGAACAATTTAAAAGAAGAAGAGGAATTCCCCAAGCATCAAAATACGGTCCTTCCTCATCTGAGGCCCTTTAGGTAAGGGTCTAGTGCAATTCTCTCATCCAAAGATGAACAAGATGGTAGGATCCAATCTTACTGGATAAGATGCCACGTTTGAACACTGCCTCACACACAGGTTCTCCTGCAACATTTGGGGAAATGAATTTAGCTTGGTCATTTCCCAGATATGCTAGTTTTCTATTTGCAGAGAATTTTTCAAAACCACATCCCCCACCAGCAGTTGAAGATGATTATTTTCCATCATTCCAAGGCAGGCCTAAATCTACAGCAGAGAAGCAGGATTTTTTGTTGTGAGGGTGGTAGATTTTGAGCTTCAAAGCAAAGCATGATTCTCTGAGTCAATTGTTTTT